CAATATAATATATGTATATATTTATTTATTAGCCTGAAATTGAATTGTGGAGAAGAGCAGTAACAAGTGGTGTAGTTAGGGAAAGGAATCTAAATATGATCTAAATATATTGTATGACATTCACAAAAATTCAATAAAAAAGGAAATACTGAAATTAAAAGAGCACTAACTGAATTTTAAGAGGAAGATTGGATATTTAGACAACAACACTTTATATACAAAGGGCAATGAAAAGTAAATAACACTACAGAAACCAACAGCAAACCCAAACCTTTCCCCAGCAAACTTTAGGTCATGGGGTGAAACTTTATTCTAGAAGAATTTGGTCTATTATAATACTGGTTCAGAACAGAAAAAAAGAATCCAATGTTGTTTTTCTTACGTTATTTTTTTTCAGTTTGTAACTTACCCGAAAAGGCACTATTAAATTCTTAACTTGCAGCATAAATAACACTAAAGTAAAGTAAAATAGTAATGAGGAAATAGATATGAAGCAAAATGAAACAGTAATAGCCTTAGAAAAATGATGCTTTGGAAACAAACTTGTCCCACTATTATTGTGGAATAATCGAAAACCTTCTTTCTCAGTGTCTTTACATGAAGAAGCAAATGGACCACAAGGGAGGCAGGAAACATCAGTGTGTGACCGGAAAAGAAATGAAGGAGAAAATATGTCCAAATTCCATCATGAAATGATTCCTAAAATTTGTCATGTCACTTAAATCACTGGCAGGTTAAAAACTCAATTATGAAACAGAAAATAGTACTTAATTCAGAATCTTTATGGAGGTACTGTTAGAAACTTATTTGCTTTACATAGTCAGAGTAATATTTTAACTGTGATTGGAGATTAAAGCAAGAGAAAATATGGAATCAAAGAAATATCTTGCCTTATAAATGGTCTTCTTAAGGTAGTTATTAATTGTATTGGCACGTGGATTAATAAACTAGTCACGAAAGTCTTCATTATCAGGGTTGGGACTGTAGAAACTGTTGGGTTGATGGAAAATACAGCACTGAGATTTCCTCTTTTGTTGCTTATCTAAATACTTTTGAGTGATTTCATAGTTCAATCTGAATAGTGTGCCCTTCTATTATATTGCTAAATGGCTGAATGAGCCACAGGGCCTGGGGTGTACGAAAAACATGTTGCTTAAACTAATAAAAATGTACTAAGATAATGTCTAATCATTAGTAATTATTTGTTGAAGGGCTCTAAATAAAAGATATCAGCTTCATAGGATAAGGAAATACATACACAAAACTGTCCATGTAAGGTAAGAATTTTACAAGTAAATCTACTTGATACATTAAGGTGGCTGGTTCTCAGAATACCTTCCATGCATATTTTATTTTACAGTGCTGATTAAGAAGTAAATTACACTGACTTAAGAGCTATAAGAGGAG